CTTGTTTGCTTGTTTGCTTGTTTGCTTGTTTGCTTGTTTGCTTGTTTTCTTGTTTGCTTGTTTGCTTGTTTGCTTGTTTGCTTGTTTGCTTGTTTGCTTGCTTGCTTGCTTGCTTGCTTGCTTGCTTGTGTTTGTGTGTTTGTTTGTTTGTTTGCTTGGTTGTTTGGTTGTTTGGTTGTTTGTTTGCTTGCTGATTTGTTTGTTTGCTTGCTTGTTTGTGTGTTTGTTTGTTTGTTTTTTTGTGATTGAGTTTGACTGCTTGTTGCTTTGAACAAAGAACACACCTGTGGACCACACCTTGGAGGTCTTGATGCTACAGATCAGGATACGCGAGATCCAAGCGGAGCTATTTTCTTGGTTCTGAAATTGTTATGGGTCAAAACTGCAGAACACATATTGTGCTACCTAATTGCCAAATTCAATTGAGACTTGAGAACTACTCTTTGAGGTCAGAAACGATTGCAGGCCCCTACATCAAGCAAATCAAGGCAGCTTGAATTTGCGCGACATTTACATTTGATCTACTGCAGTTTGGCCTTGTCTTCAACAGGAATTGGAACTCCAAAAACAAGGGCTGGAGGTCCAGTTGTCGCAGGCACTGTCAAGCAGGGAGACATTCCACGTGGAATGTTGAGTCTTCCAGGTGGATTATACACCTTTCGAGAAGCAGGTTGAAGTGAAGGCAAGATCTGAGAGATTCAGTGAAACCCAAAAAACTCCATTGACGTCCTTACTTGCGGCTTCAGGAGAAAGGCTATGACATGTTGGTGCACGATTTCAGAACCAAAGAGCAGACTCACAGCGACAATGTGGACAGGAGCAGTTATCCTAGTTTGTCAGCGGCGGTTCTACGTTTAACATTTTGTGCTGATACTTGTCAGGATGCGTGAAGGTTTCGAAGAGGCATGAGTTGCGGTCAGTCAGTATTTATTGTTTGCCTTTTTTTAGTTAGCTACAGATTCTATGATCTGCATGTATTCCTGAGGTCATTCAGAAGCTGGACAGGAAGCTGCAGAGTGTTGAAAAGGAGCCGGACCCATAGAAGATGAAGTGGCTGGAGGGGATGGACGAAGCACCTGAACGGATGAGTAATGGTTGCAGCAGGACGTTTCTTTCGGTTTTTCAGAACTACCCAAAGGCTGTCTCAAGCAGCTCACAGAGTGCTGGCCTAAATCTACCAAACTAGCCCCAGGTTACTACACAGCTAAGATTTCTGGCCCAAGCCTACCTGAAGAGTAGCTTTCGGACAAGTTGCATCCTTGTAAAGCAACAGAGGTGCTCCATGAGAAGTGTTTTAAGCCATTGAACTTAAAGCTGCTTGTGTGTGAATCAGTGCCCTCCACAAGAAATACATCTAATGTATGGGTTTTTGAATGCTAGGATTCCTTTTCATAATTGTCCTGATGGACCGAGGATGATTGCTGATACTATGTTTTGTTATTGCTGCCGCTTTTCCTACTGCTCCTACTGCTGCTGCTGCTGCTCCCACTATTTCTTCTAGGACTACGACTGCCACGACTACTCGTGCCACGTTCTTTGTCTCTTGGACTACCAAGTGTCAGACCAGCCCCACACACTACACAAATCACCACAAGTTCTAAACTCACAGACTGTGACTAAGATTAAATTTTAACAACCCCCTTCTTAGCATACTTCTATATAAAGACCCCTTCTACCCAAGATCAAAGTTACTTGCACGTGTAGACAATCGTTTTTTGATGTTCTGAAACAAGCATGTCAATGTCAAGAGGCATATTGTTTGTCAACAAGCTGACCGTTGTTCTTTCAACCACATGGCCTTGAAGCGTACCCTTATCTAGTTCAACAGAGCCACTTACCTATCAAAACGACGTCAACAAACAGGACAACTCTTCTACGAAGAAACCGTTTCCAACATGTAGCCGCAGGCTCGTATATAGGGTGCCAGCCTGTATTCAAGGATGCAAGCTGGCTTTACACACAAGCACCACTTGCCTATGACAACTGTTCAGGACACCGTGGATGTAAATTTGTATATTTCCGGACACCATCTTCAAGACACCATCTTCTGTCTAAAATGCACTTCTTGGGACTACGAAACATTTCAGGCATCCTCATGAGACACTCACATTTACGTATATATAGACCCCAATGCAGTACGCTGCTGAGGTATGAGAAGAAAATGGAGCCGTGGGTCTCCCTTGTCGCAGAGAGAGAGGCTGTTTCGGTGTTTGACCTATTGCGCCATTCTCCACACTTAGTTTGTGATCAGGAAGAGGTGAGGAAACTTCAAGACAAGATCAGGACTATGCAAGAGGAAAAGGCACTTTTGTTGCTTGAACGGTTCACTGCAAAGTCCAATTGCAGAAATTGCTCAGGCAGAGGGCCGGGAGAAACTTCAAACAAAAATGCAGGAGCAGACATCCAGCCCAATCTACGGCTGCTGTGCATTGTCAAGAAAGAAACTTTGTAGCTTTGTGGGTTCTTCATTTGCTGTGTGAACACTTCCAGTGAGTTAGTGCTGCAGCAATGCTTCGGTTTGTACAAACATATTGCAACTGCGACCTGTATATATTAATTATGTCTGAGGACCCTCAGTTTGCATGCAAAAACTTGGGTGAGACGAACATATCAGGATTAGGACAGCTGCAAATGAAAGGGTAGCTGCCTGACGGAGGAGCTTGAAAATGAAGTGAAGATTGCCAAGGTCCCGCTGTTTTTGGCTGTCCGCATTGCAACCACGCGAAGTCCCAGAGTGTCATTTTCTGCAGGAAAGCCTGGATGCTTTTGTCAGAGAAAATATGAAGCTCCGCCGTGAAAGGGATACTCGGTGGAGGTTTGCAGAGATCATTGTGCATCCATCTAGTACAGTATTTGTTTGTTTGCCCCCAATCCACACTTGCCTACTCCCCCTATGGCATTAGGCGGCAGTGGATGACTCAAACACAATGTTGACCCATGCATTCCTTACACACATTTGTTGACACATCTTTCATATCTGTGTTGGGTATGGCAAAAGAAGCAACCCCGCTCCCCTCTTGCCAGTTTTGGCTTTGCTGTAGTCAGAGGTAGAATCCGAAACATAAAACAACAACAGGTATTATATAATTGAAAAGACAGGTTGTATAGCGGTGGTGTTGACTTTGATGTTGTTTATGCTTGGTGTCCTTGCTTTCTATTATATTAATACTCTTTAGCCTTGAAAGGCTGCTTGCCTTCATTCGTTTACTCTCTCTTTTTCTCTATCTCTCTCTCCTTGTATGTTACTGGAGCTTGTCGTTGCTTACTCTCTAGGCTAGGGTGTGGAATTGAAATATCAAATGGTTGGAAAGCCTGATGTCCATAGCGCAGAGGACGGAGTTAACACATAAGAACAACAGAAGAGTACGAAGTTTAGAGTGTTGAGAAGAGGTCAGGCAGAAGTGCAGAGTAGTTAGTGGACATTGACACATATGGTAAAAGCAATGGATCCAGAGCGACGAAGAAACATGAATGAACTCAAAAATAATGAAAGGAAGCAGTGACAAAACTGCGCAAGGAGAAGAAACCAGACACTGAAAGAAAGCACTTAGCAACTCTGTGAACAAGGGGTCTCCGAAAGCTTCCAAAATAGTTTTGGGTGAGAAAATGTCCAGTCAACGACCACCGCGTCGAATCTGCGACCAGACCCAACCCCAGAATCAGTCACCAGGCTTCCGCAGATCAGCGACCAGGATATCGCGGAACAGCGACCAGTCGCATGCTAGGGAGGGTGAATGTATGTTTGCAATTTGCATTTATATGTGTGGAAAACCAGGTGGTAGCAAACGAAGTCCACCACCAACGAAGGCGGAACGCGCGAGCACGCGACAACGAAAGTCACCGAAGTGACCGCACCGCAGGGCTTTTCAACTCTTGAGCCCACCCGTCTAGGTGGAACGAGGTTTCGCGTTTCATGTTGCATGGCACGCGACTCACATGGACCGTTCTTGGCCCCAAGGTAAAAAAGGTTGCGCATCGCGCAGCCACGATTGGACATCGTGGCGAATGCACCACCCTGCAGGATATTCGTACCTGTCAGGTGGGCATTGGTGCTCTGTGCAAAAGCTGCAGCCTCTCAGGGGCTGGACATTGGATGGAACTGCATTCTCGATGATGTGGCATCCGTACATGTGCCAACATCTTCCTTTCTTCAATACAAAAATCTCCTTTCCACACGGGCACCGATTTGAGTGGCGCTCCATTTCAGTGACCAATGCTTTCAGCAGCTGGTCCGCACACTCTACCGAAGATCTCAATTCCGAGACCTCTCGGATCTGCAGGTCAAGGGCAGATCGAGACTCACGAGCTGCGGCCTGGGATTCATTGGCCTTCAAAGCTTCTGACTTGGCGATCTCTCGCCATCGCTGCAAGACTATCGGATCATCTTTCTGTACACCGGCTTCGGAGGTGGCGGGGCTTTCAAACACTTGTGACCTCTTCGAGGCTCGGCCACACATGAAAACAAGTAGCGTCACTCCGAGGTGCAAAAACAGAAACACGCTCAGCCAGAAATCTCCAGTGTCATCGGGGGCGGGATCATCAGGCTTCGAGCTGCCAGCAGTGAAAAGCTCAACAAACCAAGAAACAAGTTCTTCATGCGACTCTGGTCGACAAAGTCCATGCGGCTTGGCACGACATGGCTCCGGGCGTCGACATACTCAAGCGAGCCGTGGTTCTGAGCAAAGCTGACAATGTCATGCAGGTCATTCTCTTCAGGCAGCTCCTCATCCGGCCAGGTCTCATTGACCTCAGGGATGATGTCTTTCATTGGAGTGGCATTGGTGTCATCAGGGTGCTCATCCTCCATCATGTCCTCAGTGCGTGTCGCGACCAGACGTGGGAGTGGTGGAAGTGCAGTAGACTCAGTAGACTCTGCAATCGCGGCTGCCTTCTCGGCCTTTGACTTCTTCTTATGGGCCACGTAGTGGGGGTCCCATGTCATCCTCAACTTTCCATGGCGAAGTCGGGAGGCCAACAAAGCACGAGTCAAGCCGTCGGCTATCTGGCGCTCAGAGCTCATCCAGCGCAGGGAACCAGAAAGCTCTTCCAGCCGCTCCTTCATCGCGCGGAACTCAAGCGACACCCGCTTATTCACAACTGAGGAGCTGATTCCTTCTCGATGGTAGGAGTCGTAGAGGGCCTTGGCGTCCGTGATGAGGACTGGTTTGAGGTCGGACTTCACCTCAAGAAGCTCCTTGAGCTTGATGTTGGGGCGCAACAAGTAGTGCCAGTAGCGGCGTGTGAAGTCGACGGCGTCAACCGCCTGTCCTCCAGCTTGAGCTTCGGCGCCAAGGCTGCTGCGGGCAACGCGTGGAGTGCGGAAACTCCTCCAATCCAGGACGTGGTACTCGCCCTCTTCAGAGGAGGTGAGGAGACTTCGATGGACCATCATCGTGATGTAGCCTCCCTGTGAGCTCCCATCACACCTTGCGGTGAAGCCAGCGTCAAAGAAACAAACCAACTGTAGCTCATCAGGGTGGCAGAGATGGTTGTAACTAAGGCTCACGTCCTTATTCTCCTTTGCGAACTTGAGGAGACCGATGCACTCGTGCATCGTCTGGACGGTGGCCTTGGTGATCTGGCCTGAGAGCATGGACGTGGTGCGTTGCAAGTGTGGAGACGTTTGGACTCCCGGCCATTGAAGCGATCCCAGAAGCCCACGCACTTGGGTGATCTCCTTGTCGAACAGAAGTTCGGACATGGGGCGTCCTTTTGAGAAGCTGATGGGCTTGATCTTTCCCATGTACTGCTCTTGGTGAAGGCGTCGTCCACCGGATGCTGTCTTCTCAAGTTGGCATCCGCAGTACTCCAAGCAAGGCTCCTCCTCCTTCCACTCACGAAAGGAGAAGTTCTCTTTCAACAGGTCGGTGACCGCCTTACATCCAGCACCAAGCATATCATCCACGTGCATGATGACCATTCCACAAAGGCGCTCCGCGCCAAGAGTGCTCACCTTCTCATAGATAGGTGCTCCAGCATCATAGTCCTGGGCATCGGACTCATAGATGAGGAAGGCGCAGGGGTGCAGAGGGTGTTGTCGGAGCCCAGCACGCAAGAGGCGGTCAACTGCCTCCAGGTACCACCCTCGTGGAGCGTCGATCTGCCCGTAACAGGGCTTGAGCAGCAACGTACGTGTGTCGTGGTCGGCACCAAGCAACTGAAGCGCTTCACTGGGCAACTTGACCCACAGCTTGCGATCTTGGCATCGTCCCTGGAGGAATGCCGTGGACACATCTGCCGTCCACCGTCCACATGTTCCATCGCATGTCAGCGGCCAAGGAAAGCACCATGCTTCTTGACAGGCGAGTCGTGGTTGGACTGGATGTTGGAATCTCTCCTGCCAAGGCATCTGGGTCGTTGTAACCCCGCACGATGCACTTCAAGATGATCCTCGAGGTCAGGGTCCTTGTTTCATCGGCCTCTGACTTTGTCTGGAAGGTCCAGACTCCATGATCAAAGAAGCTCTTCAGCTCCTTCACCTTGGCTTCCTTGAAGAGTGCTCGTTCGTGAGGGCCAAGGTGTCTCTCGTTGACATCATTCTTGGCGGTCTTCGTCTTCTTGACACGGGCCAGTTTCTGGCTCTTGGCTTCCTGCTCGGCCGACGTGAAGGCCTCATGGTAGCAGCCATACCCATTTCCTTTCGCAAGGAGCCAGTGATTTGGAAGACCGTGACTCCGGTCCAGGAAGACTTCAGATCCTTGGGTGGTGAAGTGTCCGTGCCATCATCGGTCGTGAGTCGGCCTTTTCCACCATGCTGATGGGATCAGAGTGACCTTGACTCTGTCAAGCTGGTCTGCAGGGACTGGACAGTCCTTGGGCAGGTGGTCGATGTTCATCTTCCCTCGCCTTGGTACGAGGTGATGCCTGATGAGGCATCCTGCCTTCACTTCCCAGTAGTCCATGGGACGGTCATATAGGCTGATATCCTGCAACACTTGGAGTGGCGTTGAGCTGTGGCAAGACATAGGTCAGGGCTTCCTTGATGCCAGGGGCGTCATCAACCTTTTGGTCGTCGAGGTAGATCTCAACTGCCCTTCGGATGACGGCATGTCGCCGTTCGACCACTGCCAAGCGCTCGTGAGCTTCGCCAGGAGCGACGACGTGCTCAATGTTGTGAGCTGTTGTCCAGTCATCCATGGCCTGTCCAAGCCAGGGTCGGCCTTCATCGGTGAGAAGAGCAGCAGGAGGACCGAACACGGAGATCCAAGCGCGTTCAACAGCTCGGATGCTCTGCTCTGATTGTTCATTCTTCAGCAGGATCGCGGCCGTATAGCGAGTGGCTGTGTCAACCAGGCTAAGGATGGGATATTTGGCGGTCCCTCTTCGGATCCAGAACACGTCGGCTTGGACAACTGCGTTGAACTCCTTGGCCTTGGGCATGGAGGCAGGTGCCGTCTGGGCTGGCTTCTTATACTTGGCACAGGCTGTGCAGACATAGCCCTTTGCGGCGTGGATGACGGCCTCTGACGCACCTCGAACGGCCAACAACAGTTCAGCCAGTGCTTCAGGCCCAGGGGTGACCAAGGTTCCTGTGAAGGCGCTGAACGACTCAGATGGCCTCTTGCTTGGTCTCAGCCTTGAGCTTGATGAGGGAGCCAGTTGTTTGCCGTTCTTCTTCTGCAACATGGGCTGTTTCCCACAACGTGGGCGGCTCATCGACGAACAAGGCGCCAGCCAAAGTGGCTGCTAGACCAGGTTGATACTCTTCCATGTAGCGAGTGCGAGAGCCATAGCCGGGAGCTGCTCCTTCGAGGTGACAGTGCTGGTGGTCCTTCTGGCAAGTGAGGCTCATGGCATCCTG